GCTACAGTTTGTGATGGGTTTAGTAGCATCTATTGTACAAGGAAGTTAATATGCGACCTAATGGTTAGAGACCTTTGCAGCTCACAAACGGTAGTACACACTTTCAATGGTCGACAAAAGTAACTAACCTAATTTGGCACGTCTTCATAGGCGTTTCTGCCATGCATTATTAAGCATTCGTCAAAGTAAGATTAATTAGTTGTCGGGACTTCGTTGCATTAAGATGCTATTGAGGTTTATCTCTACTTGTTCCGACGGAATTCTGGTAGGTGAGTGGGCAACAGATCTAAAGAAATTATATGCTGATGCTTGTGCCTTTATGCTGAGAAAATGTCGGGCCCTTTGATTAATAGGTTGCACGTTTATCCATCATTAAAGAAATAACCTAGCTTCTAGATCCGATGCTGTCCCAGTGTGAATAATTAGCAATGCACGTTAAATAGGTGGACGTCTTCTGTGAGTGTCGTTAGTGGAGTCTTCGAAACAACTCTAGAGGCATTACAAGCTCCCAGTAAGCGCAGTTTTTTTTTCCGAGAGACAAAGAAAGGGTTGACTTGAACAGAAAGAAAAAGGGGATTTGAGACGAAAACGAGGAGCCTGGGCCACGTGCAGTCATTTACTTATTAGAATTAACTTTGTAGTAAGGCTGATAATGAAAAGAAAAAAAACATCAAGAGCATATCTTTTTACCTATGGAGTGGAGAGGCTGGACATGACCTGAATGAGGGTGTTCACTGCCATCTACCAGGCCATCTGCTTAGAGTTTTTATTAACAGTTGTGTTTCCAAACAAAATTTCTAAGATTATGCTCCGCACGATATTGAAACAAGAGATGAATTTGGTGAATGCTCCATACAAATGTTTGTGGAATATGGTTACGTATGATCGTGTTGTTTTTGAGCCTACGAAACAAGCAATTATGGGCGGCTGTGTGACTTTTCAGCCGGCTGCGGATACCACTGCGGTGTTAAAGGAACGACCTGCCAATGAGACCATCATGACCAATCAGCAGCCCCAGCAGCGTAAGGTCACACAGAGTTCTACCTCTAGTGGACTCATCACTGCGGCCTCTGCCGCTTCCTCTATCCCCGCAGCAGCAACTGCAGCCAATCAGAGCGGAGTGGGGGCTCGGCAGTATCGCGCATCCCGCCTGCCTGCCCCGTCAACGCGCATGACGAGGGCACGAGCCAATGCCACCTCCAGCACTCTCCTGAACCTCCCAGAGGATGCGATCCCCCAACCGGCACGAAATGGTGACTCTGACACTACTCAGCACTCCATTGCTACTGATATTTGTGAGTCTTGTGGTGTTCCTTTGCGTTGTGGAGTCGAGAATGCCCAATTTCTCTTTTAAAGTTTGTAACTAAGTAATAGATTTGGAGAATGGAGGGGCTTAGTATTACTGATGACATAAGAACGCTATACCAAACAATGTATTGGTCGAGTTACAGGGGTTGGGGAAAGGAGTTTGAGTGGTAAAATGTACAGCGAAGAACATTTAATTTTCGGATGGCGTCGTTGCATTGTGCTTCCCTATTTCGGCCCTACGGGGCATACGTGATACGATGACCTTCCACCGCTTCGAGACGGCTTTGAGCCCAGAGCCAGTTTTGATTGTGAGTTAAACGAAGGGTGTGCTTGAAGTGTCTTGCTGACGGTTGGATGTTGTTCTATGATGAGTGTGCTTCGGAAGTCGGTCGTTTTGTGTAGGAATGTTCACGTAAAGGTTAAACC